AAGAGAGGCCAACCTCGTTATTTCAGTCTCCTCTCTTTTATGTGGCAGATATGCTTTGTTCCTATTTCATGTCTGAGGCTCACAACCACTTTAAAGTATAATTATCCTTTTGGTAACCCCATCAACCCCATGATTGGGTGCATGGGAAGCCAGCAACCTCTGTCCTACCACTGCTGGTCACCAGTTAGGTGAGGTGGCTTCCACAAGGCTGACAGGAGAGGGTAGAGTGGAAGGAACATGTTGTTCTTAAAATTTGGAGGTGCCATTAGAAAAGTGCCAAGTGAATGTGTAAGGGTCCATGCAAATTGGGCATAAAAAATTCTGCTTCTCCAGGAAATTTGCATTTTTATTTCTTCAGCATGTAGAAGCAGCTCCATCTTAGCCTATGTGTCAATGCACATTAGGGAGTTTGCAGGCATTTCTGCAGAGGAGCATTTACCAAAAGTTCAGGTTCATTGTGGATCTCGGTGCGTTTTTCAGTTTGCAGAAATGCACTACAGTTCATTTGACATGGCTCCCGATGGATCCAGTTCACATCTGTGCTTTTTGAGCCGGTGTGCTTTTTGGACAGGGTCAGGGACTTATTCCTAGCAACAGAATGCGTTTTGTGTGTTACAGACTTCAATGAACTTGCACCAGAAATTCAAGTGTTGCGTTTTTTGATACGTTTTGCATTAAAGTACCACAGGAACCTTTATGTGTCCAAAGTCACATGATAAGGTTAGGGTTACATTTTAGAGTTCGGGTTAGAGGTAATTGTTAGGGTTAGAATGCTATCCCTAACAATTACTGATAACCCTAATAATTACTACTAACCCTAGCCGTTATCCCCAACATTTCACACTAACCCCAACCATAGCCCTTATCCCCAACATTTCACCCTAACCCTAGCCCTTATCCCCAACATTGCAACCTAACCCTAGCCCTTATCCCCAACATTTCACCTTAACCCTAGCCCTCATCCCTAACCCTAGCCCTCATCCCCAACATTGCACCCTAACCCTAGCCCTCATCCCCAACATTGCACCCTAACCCTAGCCCTCATCCCCAACATTGCACCCTAACCCTAGCCCTCATCCCCAACATTTCACCCTAACCCTAGCCCTTATCCCCCCAATATTTCACCTGAACCCTTATCCCCTACATTTCACGTGAAGCCTAGCCCTTATCCCCAACATTTCACCCGAACCCTAGCCCTTATCCCCAACATTTCACCCTAATCCTAGCCCTTATCCCAGCATTTCACCCGAACCCTAGCCCTTATCCCCAACATTTCACCCTAATCCTAGCCCTTATCCCAGCATTTCACCCTAACCCTAGCCCTTATCCCCAGCATTTCACCATAACCCTTATCCTCAACATTTCACCCTAACCCTAGCCCTTATCCCCAACATTTCACCCTAACCCTAGTCCTTATCCTCAACATTTCACCCTAACCCTAGCCCTTATCCTCAACTTTTCACCCGAACCCTCATCCCCAACATTTCACCCTAACCCTAGCCCTTATCCCCAACATTTCACCCTAAACCTAGCCCTCATCCCCAACATTTCACCCTAATCCTAGCCCTTATCCCCAGCATTTCACCCTAACCCTAGTCCTTATCCCCAGCATTTCACCCTAACCCTAGCTCTTACCCCAGATTCACACCTAAACATTTTCCGCAGCATGCAATGCAGTACAGTCCATTTAACACGATTTCCTATGGGACACGTTCACATCTCTGCATTTTCACCAGGTGCCTTTTTTGGAAAGGGTCAGGGACTTTTATGAATGCAAAAAGCATGTTGTGTGTTTTTTATGTGGTTTTGATGTGTTTGCCATTTTAAATCTGCCTAGCAACAAGAAAAAAACACAAAAAAGAGGCAAAAACATGTAAAAAAAATGCATGTGTAAAAATGCAAAATGCAATGCAGAAACGAATCAAATGCAAACTGCATAGGTGTGAACCTGGCCTTAATCCTGAATCTAATATGCGGATTTGGAAACATAGAGGCCCCTGCACTACTTTGATGCTACTTGAGTGCCAGAGAATGTAAAGGCGCATCAAAGTCACACTACATGATACAGAAGGTCATACTTTCTTATTAGATAAAACAAACATCTCAAAAACACATCAAAAACGCGTGTTCAAAAATGCAAAATGCACCGCTAAACGTATGCATCAACTGGAACCTGCATTGGTGTGAACCTAGCCTTAGGGGCAGAAAAAAGTACATTTTTGAATGGTGTTTTAAGGATTAAAGATTAAAAAAATAAACATACATAAACGCAGCATAGGGGAATGTTTTGCACATGCAAGCAAATGCCCATAAACTTTCCTAAACTCTTGCTGAATAAAAGCAACTATGAGCATTTTTTCTGCTGTTCTTTCTGTCACCGGTTCTTTCTGCCCCTAGTATGCATGGACCCTGATAAAGACCTTCCATACATGGTTTGGTCATCGCTAACATTGGCTATAGTTTCTTTTTGCTGAGATAGAACGTTTAGTGGAAATTGTCAAGTTTATGTCATTCTACTCACCAAACGGCATTGACTCGGACCTGCTTCTTGCCCAACTCTAGAGAGAAACAAAAAACACAGTGAATGCGATTTTAATGGAAGACTTCTATTAAACTGAACATCCAAAGCCAATGTTGCACTATGTTTGGCATCATGCCTCACTCTATACAATTTTCTTAACTGCTTTATGACCACCCTATAGCAGAAAAACTGCTACAGGGCTTCACGGTGTGCGTAAAATCACGTGTATATATACGCGATTTTGCATTTCCAGGCAAAGCACACGCACGTGCTCCCTATCAGTGCCGTCATTCATGGTTATCACTCGCCGGCGCCCGGTGATTGCCGAGCATTTCCCACGGGGAGAACTGTTTGCAATCAAAACAGTTCTCCCTGTCAGCTCGTGCACACTGCTTTGGATGGCTGTTCAGGGCACAGCTGTAGGCAGGTGTAGTCTACCTCCAATCAGAGTGGTACTGCAGCCCGAAGAGAGGACATCAGGAGAAGCCTGATTTGTATCTGGTTTCCTGGGCTCTGAGGGCAGCATTCCAGTTGGCTACGCTACATCCCGGTGACCCTTGGTGGCCATCTTGGTTCTGCAGAGTCTTTAAAAGTCCCTTCCCCCAGGTTTTGGCATTTTTGCAAAGTATCTAGAGTAGGGAAAGTACACCCTCCTGTCAGGGAAAGTGATAGCTGCATGGAAAGATTCCAGATGAAAGGGACAGGCTAGAGCAGCAATGGGCAAACTACGGCCCGCGGGCCGTATACGGCCCAGCGAACCTTTTAATCCGGCCCGCGGAGCTAGGCTCCCGCTAGGCTCCTCTCACAGTCCGCCCTGAAGACCGGTGTAGCATGAAAATCTGTCTCCTATGAGGATCTGTCCCCCTCGACGTATCTGCGCATGTGCCGGAGATCGCCGATCGGCTGCTAATGCCTGAAACTGGCACATGCGCAGATACGTCGAGGGGGACAGATCCTCATAGGAGACAGATTTTCATGCTACACAGGAACGGCGCGGGAACACGGCGAGAGGAACACGCGGAGCAAAGGTAAGTGAATTGACACAGGGGGGACTTGGGGACTTAATATGGGGGATGAATTAATATGGGGAAATTAATATGGGGGATGAATTACTATAGGGGGGATGTATATGGGGGATGAATTACTATAGGGGGGATGAATTACTATGGGGGATAAATTACTATGGGGGATGAATTACTATGGGGGATGAATTGCTATATGGGGATGAATTACTATATGGGGAATGAATTACTATGGGGGATGAATTACTATGGGGGATGAATTACTATATGGGGGATTAATTACTATATGGGGGATGAATTACTATGGGGGATGAATTACTATATGGGGGATTAATTACTATATGGGGGATGAATTACTATGCTTACTATGGGGGAATATTACTATACTTACTATGGATGACACATACACATCATTCATCTACTCTTGGTGTGGCCCCCCGGGTCCAATATATGAACCCATTGCGGCCCTCAAGTCAAAAAGTTTGCCCACCCCTGGGCTAGAGGCTCACAGTCCTGCACAGAAGCCTTCCCTTTGGGACCCGACCAGCCAGACCACAGTGGTCCCTTTGAAGACAGACACTGTTGGTGTCTGAACTGTGAGTATTACCCTTAGTGGCAGGGCCATGGATAAGGGGGTACCATCAGTCCTCATGTACGGGGCCCAGGCCAGCAGGGGGTCTCAGGCAGTTGTATGAATCGGATGTGGGCAGAGAGGGTGATGGGTGTGGTGGGGGTGGATTACTGGAACTGATCCCCTGTACGGCTTTCTCTTCAGCAGCTGAAAGCTGGCTCCTTCTTTTCTCCTTCCTGCTGGTTTTCAGAGTCATACAGGGGATCAGTTCCAGTAATTGCCCCCCTCCCTCCACTGCACCCTTCACCCTCCCTGCACATCATATAATTCCCCTCCTACCCAGGTTCACCTATGTGCCCCCACCACCACAGTGCTGCACAGTAGGAGCCTTCAGAATGAAGAGTGGGGAAAGAGCACCAGCCCCTTCCTTTCCTGAATGAACACAATGGGTGATCGGTACTGATCACTCACTGCGTTCATTCATAACTGAAGCATAGTAAACTACATTTTTTGGGGGGTGAACGGCTGTCAGGTTGGCTTTATAGGGCCCCGTGGTTTCTAACAGAAGCCCTGCTTAGTGGTGATTTTCTGTTGGGGTTGTTTGTAGTTGGCATTTTTCTACAGGTCTCTAAGTTCTGAGTTTATCTGCCAACGGACTCCGTGTCTTTACTGCAGCCGCACCATGCTGCACCTCCCCACAAGCCTTCTCTAGCCTACAATGGCTGACAACACGTTCTTTATTTAAGTTGCTCTATAGAAAATGCAAATACTTGCTGAATATCTACAACTGATATCATGAATGAATTTCCATGCACTACTAGTGACAAATACAGCTCATATGTGGGATTATTTCTCTTAGTCATTGGACACTGTAACCTACTCACCAAGAGCGGCGCATCTGGTCATGTGATCCACCGCTGCCTTGGACGTGCAGTAAGTCAGGATGTTCGGGATCTGGAAAACAAATGGAAAGATTGAAAAGGCCAGCAAAGGGGTTGTCCTTTATTTAAAGTCATGTTAAATGTACATTTCAGATTTCACCTCTTCGCTGTACACAGTGTGTAATAGCAATACGGCTTCTTCAATAAAGTCTACACATGAACAAACTGACACCAGATTGGATGATCGATAGTTTTGTCAAATCTGAGAAAGGAGTACTGCTACAAGAACACAGGGGAAGGAGTACTGCTACAAGAACACAGGGGAAGGAGTACTGCCAGGGGGGACACAGGGGAAGGAGTACTACTACAAGAACACAGGGGAAGGAGTACTGCCACGGGGGACAGAGGGGAAGGAGTACTGCTACAAGAACACAGGGGAAGGAGTACTGCCAGGGGGGACACAGGGGGAAGGAGTACTGCCAGAGGGGAATTGGGAAGGAGTACTGCCAGGGGGGACACAGGGGAAGGAGTATTGCCACGGGGGACAGAGGGGAAGGAGTACTGCTACAAGAACACAGGGGAAGGAGTACTGCCAGGGGGGACACAGGGGAAGGAGTACTGCCAGGGGGGAATTGGGAAGGAGTACTGCCAGGGGGGACACAGGGGAAGGAGTACTGCCAGGGGGGACAGAGGGGAAGGAGTACTGGGGGGGACACAGGGGAAGGAGTACTGCCAGAGGGGGGAATTGGGAAGGAGTACTGCCAGGGGGGACACAGGGGAAGGAGTACTGCCAGGGGGGACAGAGGGGAAGGAGTACTGCCAGGGGGGACACAGGGGAAGGAGTACTGCCAGGGGGGACAGAGGGGAAGGAGTACTGCCAGGGGGGACACAGGGGAAGGAGTACTGCCAGGGGGGACAGAGGGGAAGGAGTACTGCCAGGGGGGACACAGGGGAAGGAGTACTGCCAGAGGGGACACAGGGGAAGGGAGTACTGCCAGGGGGGACACAGGGGAAGGAGTACTGCCAGGGGGGACACAGGGGAAGGAGTACTTGCCAGGGGGGGACACAGGGGAAGGTAACTGCCAAGAGGGGACACAGGGGAAGGAGTACTGCCAGGGGGGACATTAGGGGGAAAAGAGTACTGCTACAAGAACACATGGGAAGGAGTACTGCGGGGGAGAACACAGGGGAAGGAGAGTACTGCTGGGGGGGGACACAGGGAAAGGAGTACTGCCAGAGGGGACAGGGGAAGGAGTACTGCCAGGGGGGACACAGGGGAACAGGGGAGAGAGAGTACTGCCAGGGGACACAGGGGAAGGACTACTGCCAGGGTTGACACAGGGGAAGGAGTACTGCCAGGGGGGACACAGGGAAAGGAGTACTGCCAGAGGGGACACAGGGGAAGGACTACTGCCAGGGTTGCAGGGGAAGGAGTACTGCCAGAGGGGACACAGTGGAAAGAGTACTGCTACAAGAACACATGGGAAGGAGTACTGCTGTGGAGAACACAGGGAAGGAGTACTGCTGGGGGGGGGACACAGGGGAAGGAGAGTACTGCCAGGGGGGACAGAGGGGAAGGAGTACTGCTGGGGAGAACACAGGGAAAGGAGTATTGCCGGGGACACAGAGGGAAAGGAGTACTGCTGGGGGGAAACACAGGGAAAGGAGTACTGCCAGGGGGGACACAGGGAAAGGAGTACTGCCAGGGGGGGCACAGGGGAAGAGTACTGCCAGGGGGGGACACAGGGGAAGGAGTACTGCCAGGGTGGACACAGGGGAAGGAGTACTGCCGGGGAGAACACAGGGGAAGGAGTACTGCCGGGGAGAACACAGGGGAAGGAGTACTGCCAGGGGGGACACAGGGGAAGGAGTACTGCCAGGGGGGACACAGGGGAAGGAGTACTGCCAGGGAGAACACAGGGGAAGGAGTATTGCCAGGGAGGACACAGGGGAAGGAGTACTGCCAGGGAGAACACAGGGGAAGGAGTATTGCCAGGGAGGACACAGGGGAAGGAGTACTGCCACGGGGGACAGAGGGGAAGGAGTACTGCTGGGGAGAACACAGGGGAAAGGAGTACTGCTGGGGGGGGACACAGGGGAAGGAGTACTGCCACGGGGGGACAGAGGGGAAGGAGTACTGCGGGGGAGAACACAGGAAAGGAGTACTGCTGGGGAGAACACAGGGAAAGGAGTACTGCTGGGGGGGGGGGACACAGGGAAAGGAGTACTGCCAGGAGAACACAGGAAAAGGAGTACTGCTGGGGAGAACACAGGGAAAGGAGTACTGCCTGGAGGACACAGGGGAAGGAGTACTGCCGGGGAGGACACAGGGAAAGGAGTACTGTCGGGGAGAACACAGGGAAAGGAGTACTGCCGGGGAGAACACAGGGAAAGGAGTACTGCCGGGGAGAACACAGGGAAAGGAGTACTGCTGGGGAGAACACAGGGAAAGGAGTACTGCCGGGGAGGACAGAGGGAAAGGAGTACAGCCGGGGAGGACAGAGGGAAAGGAGTACTGCGGGGAGAACACAGGGAAAGGAGTACTGCTGGGGAAGATGCAGTACATCACCTTCTTACCTGAGATCTCTGGATGCTGAGGCAATGAGCCGGAAGAGCTTCTGCTATGTGCGCATCGCTGGATGGAGATTGGGCTCGGTTGAGTATAACGGAGGGCTGAGGTGGGAGCAGCACACTGAAGATTTGTTACCTTCACGCGTAGAATGCATGACGGTAAAACACCTTCAGGCTTTACAATCACTTACGTCCGTTCACATTCCGGAGCACTTACTGTATGCTGCTTCAAATTGCATTGGCTGCTCATTAATCAAACCATTAAAGTGATTTGAACCCTTTTAAACTTTAGACTGGTGGCAGGAGTGTGTGTTGCATCTCCACTACCAGGATGGTGGAGGGGGAGAACCAAGCCTGCTATGAAAGGTATGTGCTCACAGGTATTGCTGTGAGTGATGTGGAACAGTTCTTAGTTCAGATTTACAAACAAGCAATAATTTCTTTAACCATACAAGAGAACACATTGTCACCCCTAGGCTCACCCTGCCCAATCCATAATTAAGCCCCATGGGAGGGGCAAAACATGTTGGAGGCGTGGCTTTGGATGAAGCAGACTGAGGCTGCTTTCACTTGTTCACTGATGGCTTTGCTAGGTGTTCTGTATTAGGGACCTTTCATTATGTACAGTATATACTGAGTATGTGAGGAGTTAGATAGACTCCTGCCCAGCCGGCACCCATTGCAGAAAACAGCGGATGGACTTACAGGAGCGGAGACCTGAGGTTACAATATTCTATGACCCTTATCTATTTCTTATAGAGGAGCAAGAAAACACGCACCGCTCTCACACTGCAACGCTGGATACGTTGACGATGTTTCCTTTGGTCTTGATGAGATGAGGCACCGCCAGTTGAGACAGATAGAAAACAGACCTGGAAATGTAAAGAGACAAAGGGGATTATTCTACAATTCACACTCGCTGCTTCCCGTTCTGTAAAATCTAAAGGGATACAACAAATTAGCAGACTTTAATAAACCCAGTCAGCTGGTCTAAGGAAATACTTGGAGATTTGACACCCGTACAAGTTAGAAAACTAAAAATGTAAATTAAATGGGAGCAACCATGATATTTTGGAACAGAAAGGGTTAAAGGAACAATCTCTGTTAGGCTGTGACTGTGCATGATGTCATCTAGTGGTGACATGAAGTAATGACAAATAATAGTGCCATTGTTTGGATACATTGTCCATAAACTGCTTATCACAATGCTGGGAAATCCTCATCCAGGGCCTAGGGCAAGCATGCCAAATGGTGACCATCCCCCTCCCTTTCCATGTATGATATGCAAGCTTAGGGGGTGTGCAACCCGCACCTCCTCCCAGCTGTCTCCTCGCTGCGGGTGTACAGACCCGGGAACTCAGCACAGGGATGGTGGGAACCCCGAATAATGGGCACAGCAGGCGTGCAGACCCGGGAACTCAGCACAGGGATGGCGGGAACCCCTCATAATGGGCACAGCAGGCGTACAGACCCGGGGACTCAGCAAAGGGATGGCGGGAACCCCTCATAATGGGCACAGCAGGCATACAGACCCGGGAACTCAGCACAGGGATGGTAGGAACCCCTTAAAATGGGCACAGCGGGTGTACAGACCCGGGAACTCAGCACAGGGGTGGTGGGAACCCCTCATAATGGGCACAGCGGGTGTACAGACCCGGGAACTCAGCACAGGGATGGTGGGAACCCCGAATACTGGGCACAGCAGGCGTACAGACCCGGGAACTCAGCACAGGGATGGCGGGAACCCCTCATAATGGGCACAGCAGGCGTACAGACCCGGGAACTCAGCACAGGGATGGTGGGAACCCCTCATAATGGGCACAGCGGGTGTACAGACCCGGGAATGTTTGAAATCACCCATACCATACACCACCCCTCCCCCATACTAGATAAGTTCCTTATCTCACCGCACGTTGATATTCATCAGTCGGTCATAGTCCTCCAGGGTGGTGTTCTCTGATGACCCCAACGCCATAATCCCCCCACAGTTCACCAGAACATCCAGCTGTCCAAAGTGACCGACTGTCTCCTCTACAATCTGCTGGACGACCTTCTCATCTCTGTCAGATCTCCGGGGACCAGGAGGGGCTGTGGGGGAAAAAGACAAAGGGGGTGATTTACAAAGACAAATAAACTGAGTACTGTGCAAATGCAGCTGCTCCAGAGAGTCCCCCCATTTAGGAATGTAGCACTACCCCTTTGGGGGTTGCTGTTGAATCTGTTGGGTCCCCCTACAGTCCTGCACAGCCAGGCCATTAGCATTTTGTGTTCACACAGCTGCTGCACAGATGGCTGCTGCTACCAGGCCTATCAGCTGGGTGGCTCGTTCCCTGCCATACAGGTGATCCTCTTCCAGGGGACCAGTGAGTCCTGTGTTTCCCTCCTCTCTGATTCCAGCCTCGCAGGCAGGCCCCATCCCAGCAGGCCCCATCCCAGCACGCCCCATCCCAGCACGCCTCAACCCAGCAGGCCCCATCCCAGCAGGCCCCATCCCAGCACGCCCCATCCCAGCACGCCCCATCCCAGCAGGCCCTATTCCAGCAGGCCCCATCCCAGCATACCTCATCCCAGCAGGCCCTATTCCAGCAGGCCCCATCCCAGCAGGCCCCATCCCAGCACGCCCCATCCCAGCACACCTCATCCCAGCAGGCCCTATTCCAGCAGGCCCCATCCCAGCAGGCCCCATCCCAGCAGGCCCCATCCCAGCACGCCCTACCCCATCAGGCCCCACCCCATCAGGCCCCATCCCAGCATGCCCCATCCCAGCACGCCCCATCCCAGCACACCCCATCCCAGCCGGCCTCCTGGCAGCCTTCTTCCTCCAGACTTGCATCTCACTCCAACTCCACAACTTCACCACCATACTCCACTATTGACTGAGCAGGATCCAAATCACTTTTTAAAAGAATTTCAGCCCCTTTCCATCCTCCTGTTGGATATTGGCTGAGGTCCTTCTGAAGTGCAGCCAACCACTCCTCAGATCCACTCACTGTCTCCAAGAACTTCCTCCAAAAGCCTCAGAGCAGGGGGAAATTGCAGAGGGGCTGGCCTGCAGAGTCTCTCAGTCCTGACCAGATTTTGACCCTTCTGGCTATTGCACCTGAGCTGCTGATCAGCTCCTATCTAACCATCAGGGATCTAACTCCCCCTAGTGTAACTAGGAGGGTGCTACACCAAGCTCTAGAGCAACTGCACTTGTAGAGTGCACAGTCTTTAGTAAATCCACCCCATAGTCTCATAAGTGGATAACTAAGGGGGGCACTAATAAACAGGACACCCAGAGGGAATAGAGCAGGGGACAGTAATGAAGAACACACATGGTAAACATGAAGAGTACATATGACATATCACGCCACCTTCAGGCCAGAGATCTCCTCGCAGCGCTGGGCCGTCTCCTGCAGCTTCTCCTGGTTTCTTCCATTTAGGGCCAGTCGGGCCCCCAGGCCTGCAAAGAGGATGGCGGTTCCGGCCCCAATCCCAGAGCTGGCTCCGGTCACCAGGCACACCTTCCCCTGCAGGGACACCACCTGAGGATGGGAACAGAATGGAGGATTAACAGAAGAGGCATACAAAACCCGGGAACTGCTACAGACAATACCTTCATGTGTGGCCATGATGGGAGGACAGATATTTCTGTGCACAGCACACTTCCCGTGCCATTGGCTGCAGACATAAGAGTCCCTGTTCCCTGAGCACACAGCTGGGGGCCCCCTGACCTCAGGGGCCCAGAGACAGTTGCTCCCCCCTGTAGTTTGTGTATCCATCTCTGGACTTGCTACAGATGGAGAGACCCTTTTAGTAGTTTGTTAAATGTTGACTCCTGGTGTGTCCTCCCCATCCTTCCCATCCACCCCATCCTCCCCATCCACGCCGTCCTCCCCATCCTCCCCGTCCTCCCCGTCTACCCCATCCTCCCCATCTACCCCATCCTCCCCATCCTCCCCATCCACCCCGTCCTCCTCATCCTCCCCATCCACCCCGCCCTCCCCGTCCACCCCGTCCTCCCCATCCACCCCGTCCTTCCCATCCTCCCCGTCCTCCCCATCCACCCCGTCTACCCCATCCTCCCCATCCACCCCGTCCACCCCATCCTCCCCATCCTCCCTATCCTCCCCATCCTCCCCATCCACCCCATCCTCCCCATCCTCCCCATCCTCCCCATCCACCCCATCCACCCCATCCTCCCCATCCGGCTCCAACCAGCAATTGTTACTTATTACTAATGTTACAATGTAGCCAACAGAACACCTCACACCTCGCACCTCACACCTCACCTCACACATGGAGGTTGATTTACTAAGTGCAGGATCACAGAAAAGGTTGGTTTACTAAAGGCAAACAGACTGTGTACTCTGAAAGTGCAGTTGCTCCAGAGCTTAGTAAATGGACAGAAGCTCTGCTGACTTCCATCATCCAATCATGTGCAAGCAAAAACTATTGTTTTTTTTTATTTTCCCTGGCATATGATTGGGTATTCTTGGCAAAGGGAAGAGTCAACTCATTTACTAATCTCTGGAGCTACTGCACTTTGTAAAGTGTACAGTCTATTTGCCTTTAGTAAATCAACCCCATAGATGGATAGGAAGCGGTTTGAACTGCATTCAATCTGCATGATAAGTGGAAAACATTGCTTCCTATAGTGCCTGTTCACATGCTGAAAGTCCGGGATGCAGGCAATGCGGATTGAAAAGAGTCCTGTCCGATTTCTGAGCGGTACCTTCAGGTTCAGGTGTGGATTACAGGCTATTGACTTCTATGGGAACCATTTTTAAACTGCATATGTGTGAACAGGATAAAATCCTGACCTGATCCTGTCCTGAACCTGATATAAACCTGGAAAATAAAATGTGAACTTTGTGTTTTTGGTCTTTATGATTTTGTTTATTTTGAGTAGCGCAACACTATGCACTAATTTATAACTGATATAAACCTGACCTGAACCTGATATAAACCTGACCTGAACCTCATATAAACCTGACCTGAACCTCATATAAACCTGACCTGAACCTCATATAAAGCTGACCTGAACCTCATATAAAGCTGACCTGAACCTGATATAAACCTGACCTGAACCTGATATAATCCTGACCTGAACCTGATATAATCCTGACCTGAACCTGATATAAACCTGACCTGAACCTGATATAAACCTGACCTGAACCTGATATAATCCTGACCTGAACCTGATATAATCCTGACCTGAACCTGATATAAACCTGACCTGAACCTGATATAAACCTGACATGAACCGCTGAACAACTTCTGTATCAATTAGCTGTGAAACCTGAGCTTCAGTCCGCAGCGCACATGTGTGAATAAGCTCTAAAGGCAAATAGACTGTGCACTCTGAAAGTTGCTCCGTAGCTTAGTAAATGAGGAGCAGCTTCAATTTCCACACAATACCCAATAACAAGCAAGGAAAATAAAAAAATACATAATTTTTACTTACATGTGATTGGATGATGGAAGTCAGCAGCACTTCTGCTCATTCACTAAGCTCTGGAGCAACTGTACTTGCAAAGTGCACAATCTGTTTGCCTCAACCCTTTGGGGTTGATTTACTAAAGGCAAATAGACCGTGCACTTTGTGAAGTTGCTCCAGAGTTTAGTGAATGAGGTAAAGCTTTTCTTTGCAAAGAACACCCAATCACCTGCAGGAGAATAGCAACACAGTATTTTTGCTTGCATGTGATGATAGTCAGCAGAATTTCTGCTCATTTACTAAGCTCTGCAGCAAAGTGCACAGTCTATTTGCCTTTAGTAAATCAACCCCTTTGCTGTTTGGTTGAACGTACATGCCATGGAAAGAAGTGAGGACTGCGTACTGCAAAGTGCAGTTGCTCCAGAGCTTAGTAAATGAGGGGAAGTTCTGCTGACGTCCATCGTCCAATTTTTCAAACCGAAGCTTTACCTCATTTACTAAGCTCTGGAGCAACTGCACTTTGCAAAAAGAATACCCAATCACATGCAAGAAAAAGGAAAAAAAACAGCATTTTTGCTTGCACATGATTGGATGATGGAAGTCAGCAGAGACTTCTGCCCATTTACTAAGCTCTGGAGCACTGAAACTGATCTGGTAGAGTGCACAGTCTATTTGCCTTTAGTAAATCAACCCCATTAGGCAACAAAGCTGAGAATGACAGCAGCAGAGTGCTGAACACAGCGAGACAGGTCCACTTTAAAAAAAAAGAACTCTGGGGTGGATTTACTAAAGGAAAATAGACTGTGCACTTTGAAAGTTTACCTCATTTACTAAGCTCTGGAGCAACTACACTTTGCAAAGAATACCTAATCACATGCAAGGAAAACTAAAAACAAAATAGCTTTTTTGCTTGACATGATTGGATGATGAAAGTCAGCAGAGCGTCTGCCCATTTACTAAGCTCTGGAGCAACTGCTCTTGCCGGGTGTAACTGCACTTTGCAAAGTGCAGAGTCTGTTTGCCTTTAGTAAATCAACCCGTCTGTGTTGAATAAAGTCATTGGAGACACATCACATATGCGGGAACATACTGCTGTCCTAATGACAGACTGACACACACTGACACTCTGCGGTTGGTTTACTAAAGGCAAATAGACTGAGCACTCTGAAAGTGCCGTTCCTCCAGAGCTTAGTAAATGGAGCTGACTTCCATCATCCAATCACGTGCAAGCAAAACTGCTGTTTTTTGGGGTTTTTTTTTATTTCCTTGCATGTGATTGGGTATTCTTTGCAAAGTGAAGCTTCACTTCATTTACTAAGCTCTGGAGGAACGGCACTTTCAGAGTGCACAGTCTATTTGCCTTTAGAAGATCCCCCCCCCCCCCCCCCGACACACGACTCACCTGTTCTTGCTGTGTGGCCATGTCTGCTCCGACGTTGGGAATGTAGTAAAGCTCAGCACTGACTGCCGGTGCTTTTTATATGTTTGGTGCTGGAAGAATGCAGAAGTTCAAGATAGATACAGATTCTGCTGAAGAATGTCTATAAATGACCGATCTGCGAAGTCTCCGCTAGAATGTGTTATGGAGCCCCTCCCCCCCATCCCTAAACTGAACTGAAAAAGGTCAAGCTATGCGTTTTAATGTACAGTGGATATAAAAAGGCTACACGCCACCCCTCCCCCCGGGGTAAAATGTCAGGTTTCTTTGATGTAAAAAAAAAAAACGAGACAGAGATAAATCATTTCAGAACTTTTTCCACCATCATTGTGACCTATAGACTGTACAACTCAGCTGAACAACAAACTGAAATCTTTTAGATGGAAAGAAGTAAAAAAAATAAAAATTAAATAATGTGGTTGCATAAGTGTGCACACCCTCTTATAACTGGGGATGTCGCTGTGTTCAGAATGAAGCAATCACATCCACAATCATGGTACATAGGAGTCAGTACACACCCGCCATCATTTAAAATGCCTCTAATGAACCCCAAATAAAGTTCAGCTGTTCTAGTTGGTCTTTCCTGACATTTTCTTAGTTGCATCCTACAGCAAAAGCCATGGTCCGCAGAGAGCTTCCAAAGCATCGGAGGGATCTCATTGCTAAAAGGTATCAGTCAGGAGAAGGGCACAAAAGAATTTCTAAGGCATTAGATATCCCATGGAACACAGTGAAGACAGTCATCATCAAGTGGAGAAAATATGATGCAACAATGACATTACCAACAGTGACATCACCAACAGTGACATCACCAACAATGACATTACCAACAGTGACATCATCAACAGTGACATCACCAACATGACACCACCAACAGTGACATCACCAACAGTGACATCACCAACAGTGACATTACCAACCGTGACATCACCAACAGTGACATCACCAACAGTGACATTACCAACAGTGACATCACCAACAGTAACATCACCAACAGTAACATCACCAACAGTGACATCACCAACAATGACATCACCAACATGACATTACCAACAGTGACATCACCAACAGTGACATTACCAACAATAACATTACCAACAATGACATCACCAACAGTAACATCACCAACAGTGACATCACCAACAGTGACATCACCAACAGTAACATCACCAACAGTGACATCACCAACAATGACATCACCAACAGTGACACCAACAGTAACATCACCAACAGTGACATCACCAACATTACACACTGACATCACATCAACAGTGACATCACCAACAATGACATGACATCACCAACAGAGACATCACCAATAGTGACATTACCAACACTAACATCACCAACAGTGACATCACCAACATGACATCACCAACCGTGACATCACCAACAGTAACATCACCAACAGTGACATCACCAACAGTAACATCACCAACATGACATCACAAACAGTGACATCACCAACAGTGACATCACCAACAGTGACATCACCAACAGTGACCATGACATCACCAACAGTGACATCACCAACGTGACATCACCAACAGTGACATCACCAACAGTGACATTACCAACAGTGACATCACCAACAGCGACATCACCAACAGTAAGATCACCAACAGTGACATCACCAACAGTGACATCACCAACAGTGACATTACCAAC